TTGATCTTGGCAACAGGTGCAAATGTCTCTTGGTAGTCAATTCCGTATGTTTGTGTATACCCTTTGGCCACTAATCGAGCTTTGTATCGATCTATGGATCCATCAGCTTTGTATTTAATGGTGTATATCCACCGACATCCAACTGGTTTCTTCCCTTGTGGCAACTGAACCATTTCCCATGTAGAATTTTTTTTCAGAGCTTCCATTTCAATTGCCATCGCTTCAGCCCATCTAGAATCTGTTATAGCATCCTGCCATTTATTTGGAACACATACAGTAGATAATTGATTGACAAATGATGCATATGACTTTGACAATCTATGAGTTGAAACATGGTTATTAATGGGATATTTAGACTTGGCAGTGAGGTCAGGACAATATTGAGGTTTGGGTTTTCCTCTAGTGGTCCTAGGTGGGAGAGTGTATGGTATAGTATTAGGTGCTTCAGGAATTACCTCAAGTGTTTCCTCATCACGAGACGATTGGTCCGATGGTTGAGAAGGAAGGGTTGTATTTTGTAGTTGATCACAGCACTCATTTGGATTGTTCCCTCCAGGATCTTCACCAAACAAGAACGACAGTTTTTCAGTACCTTCATCGCTGTAGCCATCTTCAAGTTCACTGATGTTCGGCGACCGATCGCTGGGTTCTGTGCGACCGGTCGCTTTGGGGCAGAATCAATTTTCATTACAGGAGTCTTCGCGACCGGTCGCTTCTTGCCTACGACCGGTCGTTTCTTCACAGAGTCGAGTTTCATTATCGCTGGAACAAGGCGACCGGTCGCTTGGGTCAGTGCGACCGGTCGTTTCTTCACAGAATCGTTTTTCACCAAGTCTGGAACAGGGCGACCGGTCGCTTGGGTCAGTGTGACCGGTCGTTTCTTCACAGACTTGATTTTTTTCTCCCTTCTCTTCATTCCTCCTCTCCCCCTGAAGAGAAGGGGGCTTAGAAGCTTCAAAGTATGATAAATCTTCATGGAATGTGGCATCCATAGTGACAAAGAGCTTGCGAGTAGGAGGATGGTAACACTTGTAACCTTTTTGATTTGATCCATATCCAACGAACACACATCGAATGGCACAAGGGTCCAGCTTACTTCTATGATGAGATGGAACATGAGCATATACAACACAACCAAATATGCGAGGAGGCAGCTTGAGGACTGTAGGAAGAGAGACGTGACGAGCCAAGGTATTCAATGGAGTTTCAAACTTCAAAACACTACTAGGTACCCGATTAATTACATAGACTGCAGAAAGAAGGGCATGTCCCCATAAGTAGTGAGGGACCGATTTATCCAGCATGTATGCACGAGCAACCTCAAGTAATTGTCGATTCTTTCGCTTTGCGACACCATTTTGTTGTGGAGTAAAAGATGTGGAGGTTTGATGAATGATGCCGTGGTCTCGGAAGAATTGTGCCAAGACATTGTTCACATATTCCCCACCATTATCAGACCGGAATACTTTGATGGAGGCTTGGAACTGTGTGGTAATCATAGCATGAAATTCACGGATTGCAGCGGAAACGTCACTTTTATGAGCTAGTAGATAAACCCAAGTCATGCGAGTGCAATCATCAATAAATGTAACAAACCATCTTTTCCATTGGAAGAAACTTTAGCAGGACCCCAAACATCAGAGTGAACCAAATCAAAAGGGAATTCCGTTTTATTATCACTTAAGGGAAAAACAGTTCGATGGCTTTTGGCCAATACACAGGTTTCACACTTAAACTGAGAATGATCTAGGCCACGAAACAAAGACGGAAACAAACGTTGAAGATAGCCAAAGGATGGATGTCCTAGGCGACGATGCCAAAGCCAAATCTGGTGTTTATTGCGAACTTGTGAGCTGGAACCATGAGTATGAGCTGCCCTTGGTGGTGAAGAGACCGTCAAGGAATACAACCCCCCCCTTCGTTTACCATGCCCAATCGTCGCGTGAGTCGTGAGGTCCTGAAAAAGACAATGGGAAGGATAGAATGTGGCATAACAATTATGTGAGTCAAGTAATTTTCCAACAGACAGCAAATTGCAATTGATGGAGGGAACAAGTAGTGTATGAGATAAAGATAAGGAAGGGGAAAGTGATATAGTTCCTTCACCAGCAACATTAGAGGGGACTCCATTGGCACTAGTGATGTAAGGATGACGAGACTTAGAAGATATTGTGGAAAACATAGTAGAGTCAAAAGTCATGGGGAAGTCCGGAGGACGTACGGTGTGGTGGCCGATATGGCTTGACCGCCATTGCACTCCCACCGCCAAGCATGGAAGATTGGCGATTATCTTCTTCTACCACTAGTGCATAAGCTTCAATGACTGCTGGAAGCGGATTCATGGCAAGAATCCGACTACGAACGGAATCAAAGTTGGGATCGAGTCCTCCCAAAAAATCGTACACACGTTCCACCTCAAGTGCTTGTTGGTGAAGAGCCACATCATCGGGATTGGTATGTTTGCAGGGACGGAGGCTGTCAATTTCCTGCCATATTATGTGTAATTTTTCATAGAATACATTCACAGGTTCACCACTTTGAAAGGTGGTGACTGATTGACGACGGAGTTGGTACAACTTGGAGCTATTCTGTGTGACAGTATATGTCTTCCGAGCTGCGTCCCACACCGCATAAGCCGTTGAGCAGTGATCAAATAAGGCACGTACATTCTTGGTCATGGAGTTGAGGAGCCATGACTGCACCAAACAGTTGTCTTCATCCCAAGCTTCATAGCTAGGATCATCAATGGCAGGGGCAATCTTTTTACCATTAATGAAACCAGCCATACGACGAGCAGTGATGGCCAAGCGAACACTACGAGACCATGCAGGATAGTTGGACCCATCCAACTTATCAGGAGTAATTGGAGAGTAGTCATGAGAGGACCGGGGTGGTGGAGTGGTGGAGTCGATCTTAGAGGAGTCGCCCGTGGAGTTGATGGAGTCGTTGGTGTCACCCATGAGGTAAATATATAAAGGATGTAGAGGAAGAAATAGCTTAAAACTTCAGCAAACAAGAGCACAAATAATGCTTGTGATCAAGATCAATTTTGAGGCAAGGCAAGGTATGAGATAGGGACAATACAACAGCAAGTTATGGGCAAGGATAGGTAGAGATTAGGCAATAACAAGATTATGCAGAGGCAACCAAAATCGATTGCTCTGATACCATGCCAAAGATAGTGTAATTGAGAGAATAGAGATGAACTTGGAGAAGAGGATTTGCAGAGAATGCTAATCTAAAATTGTATTACTCACTTGAGAGTTATATGCAATTGTACAAAGGTTAATTAATAATTACATCTAGCACAAATCCTGGAAAGGTACCCCTAAAACATGGATGTGTAAACATCCCTAAAACATGGATATGTAAACATGGAAAAGTAGAGAGATGGTAGACAAGCATTCCTTGGTTTAGGGTCTTGTCTATGTCTTGTCTTTGTCTTGTAATTGTCTCAACTAACAGTTATATGTTTGGCTCCTTTGGTTTCTGTTGTGCCTATGGATTTTCAGATTTTGCTTTTGATTGAATTTTTCAGTTTGAAGAGCAACTTAGAAAACAGAGAAATAGCACCTAGGTTGTTCCAACCCTTTGCCCACCCTCAAATCTGTAAAAGATGAGATTTCTAGAGGTGGCCATTCAATTACTCTTCGCCCACCCACAAATCATGCACTCTGGTTCACCAAATCCGCCTTTCAAAGGTAATTCTCATACTTCTTTTGGCCTTCTCTATTGTTAATTTGTGAAATTGCCCACTAGTGTAATTGATCGTTTGCTAATTTAGATAGACAATTTCTTTTGTTGTTAGTTAAAGCTTTTTTTCTTTTTTATAGGGCAGATTAGTGCGCTTTGTCAGCACACTAGCAGTTACGGAGAGGTTTGTCAGTATTGAAAGGGAGATTTTGCAAATTGAGAGTTTAGTTCAACTGGAGGAAGGTATCTCAGTTTTCCTTATGGCTTATACATGAAAAATCCTTCTTTTTGGTGGTGTATTAGGTTCTGTTCTATATGTTGAAAGTATTGGTTTTGTTAGGTCTGCTCTGTTTGGTTGCTGAGAAAATGGTGTGCCTATCATTTCTGATGGTGGAATTTCCAATTCTGGACACATTGTCAAGGATTTGGTCCTTTGACATATCTTTTATTGCCATAGCAGATATGCTGCTCACACCAAAAAATAAAACTTTACTTTCACACTTCTACCCTGTATGAGTCTGTCTTGAATATGTTTTTTGTATTTCATTGAACCATTGATATTTTTTGAGAGTTGAAGGAGTTTATTCCTCAGGTTTACAACGAATGTGTAAAGAAACTTAGCGTGAAGATATGTATTTCTAAATTTACCACAAATCCTGACTTATTTCTCATCCTTTTTAAACTACATCAGCTATAATTGTCTGAAAAAAGGGTTAGGGTCACTTCTCAACCATATACTACATATGTATGCATATATCTGTTTAACTCCCTAAGTGCATTCCAGTCAATGAATTCAGGGTTTTGATCAGCTTATCTTGTTAGAAGTGATCATTGAATAGACACTTAAGTGATCCATTAGTACTTCCCAATTTCAAGTCCTGCATGCTTCCGAAAGTCCGTTGAGACCTGATGAGGAGAGAAATATGAATAGACAAATGATCCTTCACTTCACTTCCATGATGACATCATTTCTGAATGAGCGACAATATAGGTAATGTGGGAGCAAATTTCCTCCCACGGGAATATTCGCCTAAAGATTCCTTTGTCTTCTCCGCACCTCTCTCTCCCTGCAAAATAGATCGGAGTAAAAGGACCACACCCGGGGGGTGTTGGCCAAAGGCCCTCCGATGCCTAAGTTAGGATGGGTGTTTCAAGGAAAACCGGGTGGCCGGAGCCGTGTGTGGAGGCCGGAGCCTTGTGTGTGAGAGAGAGAAAGAAGATGGTGGCTAGGGTTTGTGAAGGATAATTTCTGCAGAGTTTCAGTAGGAATTTAGACGTACCTTAACCCTTGTGTGTAGCTAGGTATTTATAGGAGCCTCGGAGGCTAGGGTTTCAGAGGAATAATTCCGTAGATGGAAATGAATTATTCCTCCCCGATTAGGCGAGATTTGATTAATTAGGGATTTGATTTATCTGATTTAAATCAAATCCCTAATTAGGGTAGGAATCAAATCAATCCCCATTTTAATTAGGTAATTGC